ATAACAAAAACCAGGTGAAAATTTATATTTATTAATTTCATAATATAATTAAGGATGAGAATTTAAAATTTTTAATTTAATTTTCAGTTTTCTTGATGATTCTTTTCGAAAAAATCTTGAAAGTGCTCTTAGATTTGGCAACCCATTACTTGTACAGGTTTGTGCTTGAGATTAGAATTATTTAATTAAAAGTTTTTGTTTGCTAACAGATTTTTTAATAACAGGATGTTGAAAGTTACGATCCAATTTTAAATCCAGTGTTGAATCGAGAAGTTCGTAAAACAGGTGGTCGAGTATTAATTACTCTTGGAGATCAGGATATTGATCTTTCTCCTTCATTCTGTATATTTTTGTCCACAAGAGATCCAACAGTAAGAAAAATTATTTTAACAGCATTTTTAAGATTTATGTAGTGTCTGTATTTTAATTTGATAGTAAATAAAATAAGTTTTTGTTTATATTAGTAAATCAAACTATAAATGAATTATTTTTAAATATTTAATAAAATCAAAATTTTGTTGTTTTATATGACTTAAAGAAAATTAAAATGACTTATAATATGCATTATTAATCTAGCATGTCATTAAAATAATCCATTTTAACTTTTTCAATTGTAAATTGAATTTTTTTAAATTATATATACAGTTGTATTGCATTCAATAAGTTTTAAAAGAATTTAACAAAGGAAGTATAAAACTTAGGTTTCTAGAATTCTGAATATTTTTTATTGATTTATAATATAATTTATTTAACTGAGACTGGCTTTATGAAAAGTTAAACTGTGATATTTTAATAAAATATATGATTGCTTTTATAGATGTATCATTCTTGAATTGTTGTTTCAATTTAAATAAATGTAAAATTCCAGATATTTTTCAAAACTTGTAGCTTTCTTAACTTTACAAGTTTACATATCTTCATAGTCATGTAAGTTATGTAATAAAAATATATACATTTAAAAAAAAACTATGGGTTTTTGCTNCATTATAAAAGTATGTGAATACACAATGCATTGATTTCATAGATGGATTATTAAAAAGTTTTCTTAATGTGCATACAAAAATCATTTAATTTATGTTTATAACAATCAGTTCAGGTATTTTAGTAACAAAATAGATAGTAAATATTATAATTTTGAATTATTATTGATCAGCAATCATGAAACTAGCACACTCTTGAATGTTGTGTGTCTAATGCATTGCACAAAATGTGATTGCCTATTCTCTCCCTACATTTATTTTTAAAAAATTAGACAGACAGATAATTGAAGATAAACCTGAACTGTGTCACAAAAGTTATTAAACTACATTGTTCATTGTTCGAAAATACTTGCTAACAAACTTTACTCATTCAAGCTCATTCAACTTACATTCAAAAATTTGCCAAAAATCCAGCAGTTATCATAGACATATGAAAAAATTCATGTATATACATTACTTTTTGTTGTTTATGGTAGTAAAATTTATTTTTGCTAGCATAAAAAATTTCTCCCAAAAAAATATGTTAAAAATGACAGACTGAATATTATTTATAATTTACGCAACTCAATCATAGATAAAATTTTTCGATTATATATTTCATTTCCATGAGTAGCCCTGCATGAATGGCCATTTGTTCTGTACATTTTGGTTAAAACAAACTCGAACAGTTTTTACACAAAGAAATTTCTTGCTTCAAAAAAATTATAAATACTTAAAATAAAATAAAATAGAAATAAAATTCCATTTGGTATTAAATATGTGAAACAAATGTACAGAATAACCTACAGTAGTGTAGTGCCATCTATGAATGGAATGTTTTATAAGAATCGTAAATTCTCAGATTGACGATAAATCGCCAAGTGATTTGTTTCATTAATTAACTACTTGGTGATATATCGACAAATGATTGCAAAAGAGTTAAAATAGTGAAGCTTGTTCAAATGTGTAAGAAACAAAAAATATAAGTACAGATGGATTTTGAAGACTAAAGCTTTTTATAAAATGTTACTAATGACAGAACCAGTAGGAAATGATATGGAACAAAAATTAATAAAACAAAAAATACTAGACTAGACCAAAAATTCATATCCAACAAAGGTCCTAAAAAGTCATTTAAGTTAATAATGATGATGGTATTTAGCAATATGTAACATCTCTTTTGACAACTGGCCAGCATAATAAATGCAAGACATTTGAGGTTCCCAAATTGCTCAATTTTGTGACCAGAATTTTAGCCCATTCTTCAGCACAATACATTATTAACTGCCAAAGTGTTTGTGTTTGTTATTGGTCCATTTTCCATTTCAATTAATGCCACATGTTCTTGAAGGCAATAAGTATTTCCAGGCTGTAGGAGTATGTGGATGTGTTTGTCAGCCAGCCAGGCTTTTATAATTATAGTCAAATAAATATTCCTTTATCATACTGAAATATGTTGACTGAATAATTTCCATTGCAAACACATATGTTGTTTTAAGATATGGATATATTATTGGGCTAAAATTGTACCATTGCAGAAGTCCAGGGTGCCAATACCATTGGCACTGAAGTAGCCTCAAACCATTAACCTGGAATATTTTTGTGTTGACCTCATTTGACCTGACCTGTCAACCCCGAACTTATTCATTTCTGCATTGGAACATTTTTGATACTAGATGTCACTGTGTCATAATTTTTATATTAAAATGAACTTTTAAAATATAAATTTTTTTTGTTTGATATTTTTCAATATATTTATTTTGTTTCCCTTGTACTAAATAAATAAATAAATAAAATATATTTATTTTGTTTGTGCAAATTAAAAAAATAATTTTTAACAATATAGTAGCCATGATTATTATTTTTAAAAAAATTGTTAGGCTTAACATTGACAAAAATTCAACATGGCAGCCGCAGGCAACAGAGAAAAATTTCAACATGGGATAAGTTAAATAACTGACTTTTGCACCTTGCGTATCAGGTGGTGGTAAATTGTTTCATTCTTGACAATTTTACCATACTTAATGATGAAAAGTCACTCATCAAACCATAATACTTGCTTCCAACAATGTATGAATTCATACAAATGTGAGCAAGTCCTTGCTGAACACATTCTCTTCACAGACACATTGAGATAGAGCTTGCACATTGCCTCATAGAAACTGTAGTTTTGATGAGACAAAGTGCAGTTAGTGAATGTATCTGTGCATTGACACTTTGGAGACAGGCTTTTGGAACATTTCTCTTGCCCATGTTGGATTTTTAGTCATTAGATGCCAGTTTGTCCAAATAAGCCAACAAAGCATATTGCATTCACATGTTCTAAGTATCCATCATCTGTCAGATCCATCAGGTCTAATGGAGTAAAATATTTTTGAAAAGGTGTTACAAATTGTGCTAATTTTGCAGGAGTTATTGTTGCTGTTTTTATTTCTTAAAAATCATAACACTGTTACACATCTTCTTTAATCATTAGCATTAATATTAAGTAAACTAGTGATTTTATAAATTATTTTTTATTCTTATTTTTCTTATCTTGTATGTTGATCATCCCAAAAAGATCAATTCTGCTAGGAATACTTGTTTTATAACTTCTAAAATCTAAGATTATAACAGAATCTAAGATAATGAAATATATAACATCTTAAACTTTTTCTCTTATAACCAAAGTGTCACTTTACATATGTATTTACAATAAATCTAATTTTATTTCACAGTTAATATACATAATTTCACATTTAATTATATAATATAAATATTTTATATATTAATACTATAATTTTACTATAGATAAATTATGCCGATATGTTAAAACAAGTGGAACCATTAAGAAATGAACTTAAGAGTTTAGAATCTGAAGCAGATGAAAATAAACAAAAGGCAGAAGAAATTGATGCCATTATTAATCAATTAGAGAAAAGTATTGCTGCATATAAAGAAGAATATGCAAATCTTGTTAGTCAAGCACAAGCTATTAAATCTGATCTTGCTGCTGTTCAAGCAAAGGTACAGTGATATATCAAATAATACATAAAATGTTAAAACTGATCTTATATTCATTAAATTAATATTTCTGGCTATCTAATGTATAAAATGTAAGGATTATATTTAAGAAATTTTAATCATTTTTATATTAGGTTGATCGAAGTATTGCTTTACTGAAAAGTTTGAGTTCTGAGCGTCAAAGATGGGAAGCTACCAGTGAAACATTTAAAAATCAAATGGCAACAATTGCTGGAGATGTACTCTTAGCATCAGCATTTTTAGCATATGCTGGTTGGTTTTAGAATTGAAGTTTAAACTTAATAATTGTAATTTAAAATAATATAAAAAAATAAAATCTGTTTATTTTTGGTTACGTGTTTCCCTTTCCCTACTTACTGTATGTTAAAATAACTTTGTTTAATGCTATTTCATTTAGCACTTTGTTGCCTAGGAATGTATCCTAAGCACTAAATGAAGTCTTACTGTACCATGCAGATAGGTTGCCAGTTACACTACTCAAGCCTCCAGTCTGATCGCCTCTTCCAGATATATTTAAATATGATATAACCATCTTTGGTTACATAATTATTAAATTTAACCGAGCATTGTTATATCATATTTAAATGTCTGGAAGAGATTGGACTGGAGGATTGGGTAACGTAACTGGCAATACATCTGCACAGTAAGCAGTTGTTGTGGATTTGAGTCTCATTCTGGGCCAAATCTTTTTTCCAGAATATTCTAAATTATTTAATAAATATTAATTTAATAAGAGATGGTGCCTAATGCCTCCCTCTAGTGACAAATTATTTACTAATTAATGAAATATAATCACGGAAAAGTTGCTTGATATAATCTAGTGGTTTGTTTGATATTAATTATGATTAAGGCAGGACATTCAAAAATCAATATTAGAAAATGCAGGATTAAGGTTTCAAAATATTTACTTATGCACAGTTAATTTTGAACATCTGTTAAGTTGTATTTTTGAAAATAATTACAATGTTTTTTAAAAGAAAATAGATGGTCATGCAACAATTTTGTTTTTCATAATAGGTGAATTCCATGTTCGTCTAAGGCAACTAGAGAAGTCATTGTTACAAGCATTAAATGATGCTAAAGGACGTATTTTAGATGATGACAGGTACCAGACATATGCTCTAGAGTAACTTTTGTTAATTTTACTGTAACAAGAAGCAGTTTACAGAGTCAATGTTTAAATCAGGTATTCAAATTAAGATAGTAAGAATTTTTATTAAATTTTGATATTTACTAATTCAAATTGCATTTAAGGTTTTGAAAGCAGAAAGGCCTGATATAGATGAAAAACGATCTGATCTATTGAAATTACAAGGTAAATTTTTTGTTCACTGTAAAAAAAAGTGGATAAAAATAATATGGTTGGTTGATTTTGAATTTGAATTCTTACTATTGGGTTGTTTGGAAAGTAATTTCGTTTTTTTTACCACTAGACGGATTAGTCATATTTTTCCTGCCATTTTCATTTTAAACCATATTAACATTATATACTTTGACAGCTAGCATTTTAAGGCTTATTTGTAAAAAATTTTGTTTGATTTTGTGCAATTGTTTATTTTTTGTGTCTCATCAAATATGGAAGATTGAAAGCAGCATTTTCAGCATATTTTGCTCTTTTATTAACAAAAATGTAAGAATGATTTTCAAGCGAGAAAAAAATTGTGTGATGTGTACAGAGAAGATGTATTGACAGAACGACAGTGCCAAAACTGGTTTACAAAATTTCCTTCTTGCAATTTCAATATTGAAGATGTACAACATTCTGGAAGGCCAGTTGAAGCCAATGAAAACAAAATAAAGGTACTGATTGGAGCAAACTGCCAAATAACAACACATGAAATCACTAAGAGATGAAATTTGTCAAAACCGTTTATGATTACTTGAAACAAATTGGTTTCATTTCAAAGCTTGATATATGGGTTCCATGTGTTCTTAAAGAGAGATGCTCTCTTTGGTGGTATTTTAAGGAAATTTTTTTTTGAGCTTTTACCAGACAATTTAACAACTGATTTGAAAGTGTACTGCCATTGAGTAAACATATTGAGTAATATCATCAAACAGAAAAGGCAGCCAGAATTGATCAACAAAACAGGTGTAGTGTTTTACTACAATAATGTCAAATTTCACACAAGTTAGTAACTCGTCAGAAACTGTTATAACTTAGATGGGACGTACTATCACACCAACCATATTCGCCAGATCAAGCACACTCAGATTATTACTTGTTCCGGTCTATACAAATTTTTTNCATCTCTAGTGATACAGTGTACCTCTGCAACAGGTTAACTGCAGGTGGGGTGCTTTTTTTATATATCAAGAGGGGGGACAGTTTAACACCCTCTGCTGTTATTACACAATGACCCATCATGTTATTTATAGCTACCCCAGGACGCTTGAATGACTTAGTCATGAATAATTTTCTTGATGTCACTTGTGTCACTTATTTGGTAACAAATTGTTTTTAAAAATATTTCATTATTTAAATTTCATTATAGGTTATTATGATCAGCAATATAGACAAAATTTGTTTAATAATTGGTGTACCCATTTGCAACAAGCAAATATTCTGTTTAGAAGTGATTTAGCAAGAACTGAGGTAAGTTAATAAGTTGACTATATTAAAAAATATTCAGGCTAAATTCATTTCTTAAAAATCTGTATTGAAATTTACATTTAATTTTAAGTAATGTAATTTTTATGTTAATTGAATGCTTTAGATTTATTTCAACTTATTCTAATACTAAAACTGCAATAAATTTTAATTCTTTTCAGATTTATTTTTATAAAATTGAATTTATGAATTAATGATATATCCTTTCAGTATTTATCTACTGCGGATGAACGTTTGAGATGGCAAGCTAATGCTCTTCCCTCTGATGATTTGTGTACTGAAAATGCCATAATGTTGAAGCGTTTTAATAGATATCCATTGATAATTGACCCGTCAGGACAAGCTACTGAATATATCATGAATGAGCATAAAGAACGCAAGATAACAAAAACCAGGTGAAAATTTATATTTATTAATTTCATAATATAATTAAGGATGAGAATTTAAAATTTTTAATTTAATTTTCAGTTTTCTTGATGATTCTTTTCGAAAAAATCTTGAAAGTGCTCTTAGATTTGGCAACCCATTACTTGTACAGGTTTGTGCTTGAGATTAGAATTATTTAATTAAAAGTTTTTGTTTGCTAACAGATTTTTTAATAACAGGATGTTGAAAGTTACGATCCAATTTTAAATCCAGTGTTGAATCGAGAAGTTCGTAAAACAGGTGGTCGAGTATTAATTACTCTTGGAGATCAGGATATTGATCTTTCTCCTTCATTCTGTATATTTTTGTCCACAAGAGATCCAACAGTAAGAAAAATTATTTTAACAGCATTTTTAAGATTTATGTAGTGTCTGTATTTTAATTTGATAGTAAATAAAATAAGTTTTTGTTTATATTAGTAAATCAAACTATAAATGAATTATTTTTAAATATTTAATAAAATCAAAATTTTGTTGTTTTATATGACTTAAAGAAAATTAAAATGACTTATAATATGCATTATTAATCTAGCATGTCATTAAAATAATCCATTTTAACTTTTTCAATTGTAAATTGAATTTTTTTAAATTATATATACAGTTGTATTGCATTCAATAAGTTTTAAAAGAATTTAACAAAGGAAGTATAAAACTTAGGTTTCTAGAATTCTGAATATTTTTTATTGATTTATAATATAATTTATTTAACTGAGACTGGCTTTATGAAAAGTTAAACTGTGATATTTTAATAAAATATATGATTGCTTTTATAGATGTATCATTCTTGAATTGTTGTTTCAATTTAAATAAATGTAAAATTCCAGATATTTTTCAAAACTTGTAGCTTTCTTAACTTTACAAGTTTACATATCTTCATAGTCATGTAAGTTATGTAATAAAAATATATACATTTAAAAAAAAACTATGGGTTTTTGCTGAAGTTTGATCTACTTTATCAAGAGAAAATATGATAAAAAATTTTTTTATTACAATATAGTCAAAATTATTAAATATTATGCAGACTATAGATAAAAATTGAGCATTTTAATAATTTCTTTGTAGAATGATTGTGTCTAATATTTTATTTTCTGTTTCTACTGAAACCACAGTTAATATTTAAAATTAAATCATAAAATTTACAACTACAGAATAAGTAAAAATAAAATTATATTTCTGATTTTATCATCAGAAATATAATTTACTTTTACTTCTTATTTAAAGTTTTGTTTCAGTTATATAAAATGTAGTTTGACTTGTTTTTATGTAAAAGTTCTAATTTAGCAATATACTATTTTTATCATATAGTTAATTTTATTAAAATTAATTAATAATACAGATATAATTTATTTCACTGAGTTGGTAAAAACATTTGTATATTTTTGTGTTTTTTAGGTAGAATTTCCACCAGACATATGCTCTAGAGTAACTTTTGTTAATTTTACTGTAACAAGAAGCAGTTTACAGAGTCAATGTTTAAATCAGGTATTCAAATTAAGATAGTAAGAATTTTTATTAAATTTTGATATTTACTAATTCAAATTGCATTTAAGGTTTTGAAAGCAGAAAGGCCTGATATAGATGAAAAACGATCTGATCTATTGAAATTACAAGGTAAATTTTTTGTTCACTGTAAAAAAAAGTGGATAAAAATAATATGGTTGGTTGATTTTGAATTTGAATTCTTACTATTGGGTTGTTTGGAAAGTAATTTCGTTTTTTTTACCACTAGACGGATTAGTCATATTTTTCCTGCCATTTTCATTTTAAACCATATTAACATTATATACTTTGACAGCTAGCATTTTAAGGCTTATTTGTAAAAAATTTTGTTTGATTTTGTGCAATTGTTTATTTTTTGTGTCTCATCAAATATGGAAGATTGAAAGCAGCATTTTCAGCATATTTTGCTCTTTTATTAACAAAAATGTAAGAATGATTTTCAAGCGAGAAAAAAATTGTGTGATGTGTACAGAGAAGATGTATTGACAGAACGACAGTGCCAAAACTGGTTTACAAAATTTCCTTCTTGCAATTTCAATATTGAAGATGTACAACATTCTGGAAGGCCAGTTGAAGCCAATGAAAACAAAATAAAGGTACTGATTGGAGCAAACTGCCAAATAACATGACNACGATAATGTCAAATTTCACACAAGTTTGGTAACTAGTCAGAAACTGTTATAACTTAGATGGGATGTGCTATCACACCAATCATATTCGCCAGATCAAGCACACTCAGATTATTACTTGTTCCGGTCTATACAAATTTTTTTTAACTGTAAGACATTTACTTGAAATGACAATGTCAAAAATCACTCGGATTGGTTTTTTGTAAGCAACAATCAAAACTTTTATGAATGTGAAATCATGCTACTACCAGAAATGATGACAACAGGTATTTGACCAAAATGGTCAATATATAATTCAATAAAATATTTATTTATTATAAAAATATTGTTTTTTTTTCCACAGAAAAAAACGAACCTACTTTCCAAACAACCCAATATTTTTAATGTATCAGATAAACTACATATGAAAATGATCTTTAAAGAGAGACTTTTTATTTGAATACTATCATAATAAACTAAACCTGAATATCATATAACAATGTATTATTTTTAACTACTGCATTTAAAACTTTCTGAGTAAATTTTTAAAGATTAATTTTTGTAATAAAGTTTGTAATTAATTTTAATTTTGAAAAAAACTTTAATATACATACATTTATTAAGTAATTGATATTAAAAACATTTTTCATTATTATAATTTTTTTCTTTTGAAAATTAGCAATTTCCTTTTTTTATTTATTATATGTAATATTTGTTAGCATATATGTTTTTGTATTATTAAAATATTTCATATTTAATTACAAAAGAATTCCTGCTTAACTATTAAAATTAGACATTTTTGTGTGTGATATTAGTTATAAACAAACATCACAAAACACAATAAATTTGTAATGCCAAACAACCACTGGATTACATTCCGGCTATTTTTCCACAATTATATTTAATTATTACTAAATAATTTGTCACTAGAGGGAGGCATTAGATGCCATCTCTCATTAAATTTAATAATTACAATTAATACAGTACAGCGTTGATTATCCGAATCAATTGGGGACTGGGGTTGTTCAGAAGATTGATGTTTTGAATAACCGATTATGTACGAAAAAATATGTTAATTTATCCCATCTTGACATTTTTCTCCATTGCGTGTCGCTTCGCGTTGAATTTTCGTCGATGTTAAGCCTATCGTTAAAAATTATTTTTTTATTTTGTACGAACAAAACAAATATATTGAAAAATATAAAAACAATAAAAAATTATACTTCAGAAGTTAATTTAGTGTCAAAAACGTAAAATATTTGAGTGGCCCAAGACATAGCCAAAGATTGCAGCCCCACAGCACTGGCGAAAATTTAAATTTGCCTACTGGAATTCTTTCGGATGATTGACTTTCTGATAATCGACGCTCTACTGTATTTATTAAATAATTTAGAATATTTTGAAACTAAAGAATTGGTCCAGAGTGGAGCTCAAATCTACAACTCCCACTTACAGTAAGACAGTTGTTTAATGCTGATTCGATATAACGCGGTCTGCTCAAAGCCTTAAAAAAACTGAAAATTTACACTGATTCAAATTATCACAGCATTTCATTGATTCATATATAATATGATTATTCCCAAACATGACCCAATCAGCAAAAGGTGGCAATTCATTGTAGTGCTGTATTTCCCCTAAATCTCTGTTTGTTTGGTATAATTTTGGAAAAAGTATAAAATCATGGATGTTATAGGCAGTATCAACTTTGCTTGGCAAGAATTAACTGATAAATGCTTGAATGGAGCACGGAGGAATGGAGGTATTCAAGGATTCTCAACAAGAAGAACTTGTTGTTGACCAAATTGTCAACCTAATCAATACATCAGGACTAGGAGATGTAGGTGAACAGGATATTGAGGAGTTACTGCACGTTTCTGGTGAGAGCCTTATCAACAATGATCTTCAAAAACTGGCAGAAAAAGGAATTCATGTAGAACTGAAAAATAATAATTCTGAAAACATAGAACCTAAAGAACTTGCTACAGATTTCCGAAGTAAAGTTTGGTAATGATAACTGAAATCATTGATCAAATTGTAGCAAATGATCCAGATTTTGAAAGGAGTGCAAAAGCTAGACAAGGTGTTTTGCATGTGATCTTCTGCTACCGACATTTGCTTAATGAAAGAAAAAGAAAGCGACAAAGGACACTAGATAATTTCATTGCAAAATAATCAACAATTTCAGAAGAGCCAGGAACTTTATCACAAAAATGAACTTTATATTTATGTGTTATGTAGCATATATTATTATACAAATTAATATAAAAATAACTTAAAATAAAAATAAAATCTGTTTATTTTTGGTTACGTGTTCCCTTTCCCTACTTACTGTATGTTAAAATAACTTTGTTTAATGCTATTTCATTTAGCACTTTGTTGCCTAGGAATGTATCCTAAGCACTAAATGAAGTCTTACTGTACCATGCAGATAGGTTGCCAGTTACACTACTCAAGCCTCCAGTCTGATCGCCTCTTCCAGATATATTTAAATATGATATAACCATCTTTGGTTACATAATTATTAAATTTAACCGAGCATTGTTATATCATATTTAAATGTCTGGAAGAGATTGGACTGGAGGATTGGGTAACGTAACTGGCAATACATCTGCACAGTAAGCAGTTGTTGTGGATTTGAGTCTCATTCTGGGCCAAATCTTTTTTCCAGAATATTCTAAATTATTTAATAAATATTAATTTAATAAGAGATGGTGCCTAATGCCTCCCTCTAGTGACAAATTATTTACTAATTAATGAAATATAATCACGGAAAAGTTGCTTGATATAATCTAGTGGTTTGTTTGATATTAATTATGATTAAGGCAGGACATTCAAAAATCAATATTAGAAAATGCAGGATTAAGGTTTCAAAATATTTACTTATGCACAGTTAATTTTGAACATCTGTTAAGTTGTATTTTTGAAAATAATTACAATGTTTTTTAAAAGAAAATAGATGGTCATGCAACAATTTTGTTTTTCATAATAGGTGAATTCCATGTTCGTCTAAGGCAACTAGAGAAGTCATTGTTACAAGCATTAAATGATGCTAAAGGACGTATTTTAGATGATGACAGGTAATTTTTTGAGTTTTAATAAACGATGCTAACATAAATACAAATATTTAAATATTAACATTTACAAATATTAACAATAATATAGTGTTATTGGCACTTTGGAAAAACTTAAACATGAAGCATCTGAAATCTCACACAAAGTAGAGGAAACTGACAAAGTTATGGCTGAAGTAGAAACTGTATCTCAACAGTATTTACCATTATCTCAAGCTTGCAGCAGCATTTACTTTACTTTAGAAGGATTACATCAAGTATGTTTTTGATTTATTTTAGATCTGTTTTATGTAACCTTAGTATTCTGTTAATTTTGTGTATTTAATAAGCTTTTATTAAGTTTACATATTGAATTTGACATATTTCATTAGCAAATTCTCATTTTGTTTAAAATTTTCTCATAATTTATGTATCATGTAAACTTTTTTTAATGAATGAGTTTTCAATTTTAATCAATTAGTAATTTACTAATAAAACTTTTTGCACTTCATGAAAATTTTTTTAAATTCATGTTTTTGGATTATATCTTCAATTTATACTTCAGTATTCAAAAGCTGAAATTTGTTAAATTATTAAGTTCATATATGTGTTTTACTAAGACAGATTATTTATTACTATATTATTTTAATTAAAAATCAGTGTTAAAATAAATTAGTATAAAAATAAAATAATTAAAAATATGAAAGTGTTTATTTAAGAGTGCATAAAAAATGTATTTAAAATTTATAATTTTGAATACTATTTCAGTCTATGGCTAAGTAAATGAAATATAAAATAGTTCATAGATTATAATTTAAATATTATATATTAATTTAATTTATTAATGATGATAAAATATAACTATTTTCAGGTTCATTTTCTCTACCAATATGCCTTGCAATTTTTCTTGGACATGTACAATGATGTCCTCACCAATAATACTCATTTAACAGGCATTACTGATTATAGTTCTCGACTTTCTATCATTACTTCTGATCTTTTCCAGGTAAAATTAAGTTAAATTTTTTATATTCAAAAATATTTATTATAAATATTGTTACATGCTTTACTATTATTCTTTTATAGACAGTGTATAATCGTGTAACAAGAGGTGTCCTTCACGAAGATCGCCTGATATTTGCTCTTTTGTTATGTAAAATTTATCTCAGAGGGCTTTCAAGGTTTGTAGTTTAATGAATATTTAAATTTATCAATATTATTGATTAGACACAAACGAAAAAACTTTTCATTGGTATATTAGTTCAGCAATGGTAAAATCTTTTTTGTAATAGAATCACTGAGAACAATTAGCTAATTGCATGCATTATATTGTTTTGCATTACAACAAATTAAGGTTATTTTCATTTTAAGATTTCTCACTTGAAAAAATTGATGATAATTGTGAGAATTTAATGTTTTGTTTTTTATATTTAATGCTTTAAAATTATTTTATCTTTGAATGTATTGAAATATGAATATGCACACAATGTATAAATTGATTTAAGTAAATTTTACTGGTTTAATTTTTTATTATTTGTAAATTATTAAAGCATTTAGACTTTATATATGTCATGTAATATATTTTGAATAATCATCCTGTTTTCTAAACTGATAGAAAAAATTAATTATTTTTATTGGCAAAATTTCAAAAATTTGTTTAAACAGAAATATATAAAGTTTTTAGAAACTGTATTTGACAGATTATTTTATTTTTAATTTTCTAATTTTTAGTAATAAATAATTTTATTTTATTAGAAAATATTTTTGCTTATTTCAAACTGACTACCATAAATAATTAATGTATTGAAAACAAATTCATTCGGTTTTAATAAAAATAAACATTTTAATTATTGTTATTGTATTAAAAACTAAATTTTGAGTATTCAAATTTTAAAATATCATATTAATTTAATGAAAATTCTAATCATTAAAAACAAATTTAGCATAATATATGAATAATTGAGAATTAATCTTTACTTAAATTTCAGAGCACACAATAATTGTAAAATCACATTAGGCTAGATGCATAAAAATAGTATTATGATTCACATAATTTGAAAACCTATGTAGCAACTAGTCCAATCAAATGATTCATTCAAGTATTAACAATATAGAACTATTACTAACAATTACTTATTGACCCCCAAAAGAATGATAAATGAAAATACCACAGTTTACTATCTGGTCAGTACTTCCTCTTTCCACTCAAAATTAATTATGGAATGCAATAATTTGTTCATACTGTATAAACTGCACAATGCAGTAGACAAAATAGGCTAAAACAGTGACTGAAGTTTATACAATATTCAAGGTTACCAGATTACATACATAATAAATTGCCAAATTCTTTGAAAAAAATCAACCAAACTGTTCAACTTAAAAATTTATAATTATTGTACTGTTTTCTTATTTTTGAGAGTTTTTATTTGTGAAAATTACTTTTTCTGTAAAAAAAATACTCCAGTAGAGTAAAGATCTTAATCTAGCATGGCAGTTTCCATCTTCTCAAATTCTATATTCATTTTATAAAATTTGTTATTCCGTTACTTTACATATGGAATGAAACTAACAGTAATAATTGCTTTTAACCTAGTTTTATTACAATTAATCTTGGACTATAATTAAGTTTTATATCAATTTATGTATAAAAAACCAGTGCATAGTAAGAGTTTGGTTATTAGCAAAATGTCAAGAAAATTTTATTAAATAAAATTTCTGTCTAATTTAATAAATTGCATTACCATTTTCATTGTATTCAAAAATTATAACACAATGCTTATAATTTCATGCATTTCTTAAAATTTAATAATTACATAAGAATTGATCTTTCAGCGAACCTAATTTCGAACACGAATTCCATCACTTCTTAAGAGGAAAAGAAGGAATTTTACCAGGACAGCCAACAATTCATATGGCTGGTCTCAATCCAGACCAGTTGGAAAATGCAACTGCCTTGTCCAAATTGCCTGCTTTTAAAAATTTACAACGTAAATTAGATAGTCATGAGGTTTGTAATGTTTAAAATTTTTTAAAAAGTAAATAAATAAAATAATGTTTTATAATAACATAAATCTGTTTTCTTGGAGCTCATTTAGAGTAACAGTTTTTCATTTACAATAAAGGAGATTTTTATTATTTAAAAATTTTGGGGTTGTTTTCATTATCTCTTATTTCAAAATTTCAGAACTTTCCAAATTGGATAGAAAGTAGCAATCCTGAACAGGATATCCCAGTATTATGGGAAGATGATAGACCACTCACTCCCACAGGAGTAATAATGCATCAACTTTTGGTAATTCAAGCATTTAGACCTGACTCTGTCATATCCATAGCACATCAAGTTGTCAAGACTGTTCTTGGATCTACTTTTACTCAAGCTGCTGAATTAGAACTTGATCTTGCAAATGTAGTTGAAAATGAGGTAATTTTATTACTCACTTCTATAAAACCAATCTATTAAAATATGTTAAATGAACAATTGTGGAAATATGCAGATTAAATCAAGCACTCCTGTTCTTATGTGTTCTGTACCTGGTTATGATGCCAGTGGGCGTGTAGATGACTTAGCAGCTGAACTAGGTACCAGTATTACATCCATAGCTATTGGTTCTGCAGAAGGTTTCAATCAAGCCGAAAAAGCCATTAATTCAGCTGCTAAAACTGGAAGGTTTGTAAATCTTTTATCTTGGTATGAATTTTCATTCAAATTCTTATTATTATTTTAAATTATTCAGATGGGTAATGTTAAAGAATGTTCATCTGGCACCTCAGTGGTTGGTGCAGTTGGAGAAGAAATTACATACTTTGCTACCACATCCATCATTCCGTTTATTCTTAACATTAGAAATTCATCCTAAGGTTCCTGTCAATCTTTTACGTGCTGGTCGTATATTTGTTTTTGAACCACCACCAGGTATAAAAGCAAATTTGCTTAGAACATTTAGTACAGTTCCTGCTCAACGTATGATGAAGGTTAGGTTTTTTATACACTTGAAAATAGATTTTTTTAATTTTATTTTTCTTTTACAATACTCTAAGATTAGTTTTGTATATATGATCATTTTTATAACAGGCTCCAGGTGAAAGAGCACGACTTTATTTTCTACTGGCTTGGTTCCATGCCATTGTTCAAGAAAGGCTAAGGTACTGTCCTTTGGGATGGTCTAAACGTTATGAATTTAATGAGTCTGATCTCAGAGTAGCTTGTGATACATTGGATACCTGGATTGAAACAGTTGCAATGGTAAATATTGTTTGCTGCTGTTTTTACTAAGTTTGTTTAAATGAATCTTGCTCAAAAATATTGTTTAACAGGGACGTTCCAATTTGCCTCCTGAGAAAGTACCATGGGATGCTCTTGGTATTTTATTTAGTCAGTGTATATATGGTGGAAAAATTGATAATGAATTTGATCAGGTAATTTTGAACATTTGAACTTTAACAATTATGAAAATAACACCTAAATTCAGAAGAATGACTGGATGTTATAAATTTTTCAGCGTCTACTAAACTCATTCCTTTCTAAGTTATTTACGTCACAAAGTTTTGAACCTGATTTTGCATTAGTTTCTGGTGTAGATGGATCTGATAAAGCAATTATTATGCCTGAAGGCATAAGGTAAAAATCTTGGTTTTTTACTTTAAAAAATTATTTTTAAACTTAAATTATCGTTCTCTCTTTTAGAAGGGACCAATTTTTGCATTGGGTAGAAAGTCTTTCAGATCGCCAAACACCATCTTGGCTTGGCCTTCCAAATAATGCAGAGAAAGTTTTGCTGACTACACGAGGTAACATTTCCAAATATGAAAAATTTTAAATTCACATTATGGAAAATTCATTCAAAATTAAATTTGCAGCATACGATTTAATTGCCAAGTTACTGAAAATGCAATTGTTGGAGGATGATGATGAAGTAGTTTATTCTTCAGAACAAGAGGTTAAGAAACGTGAAACTGATGGAAGACCAGCTTGGATGAGAACATTGCAAAATTCTGCCTTAACTTGGTTGAGATTAGTTCCACAGAGTTTACAAATATTGAGACGCACAGTAGAAAATATTAAGGATCCATTATATCGTTATTTTGAGAGAGAGGTGTGTATCAAGATATAAGTACAGTGGAACCTCAGTATACGACCTTAATCAGTTTTTGGTGTTTGGACTTATACCGAATAGGACGTATACCAAACCAACCTTTTCTATAAGAATTAATGTAAAAATGATTAATCCATTCTCATTTTAAAAAAATGGCTGGCTTTAAACACCTGGCTTTCCTCGCTAGTTTCTGCTTGATTTTTCATGAGATCAGCATGTATCCTTTCAAGTTTCTCGCAAATAATTTCTTCCAATACACTGTCGCCGGCACACTGTTTTTCAGTTATCCAAAGCAAAAGCAATTTCTCGACATGATCTAATGTCTTTGATCTCTGTTTACAAATTGATTTAACCCCTTTCGCAACGTTAGCAAATTTAATAATGTCTTTATTTTTCACGATTGGCGATATCGTTGTTCTCGGAATACGGAATGCAACAGTTAAATCTCAAACATGCGTGCCACCTTCATATTTCTCAACAGTCTCTTTTTCAGTTCCATTGTGATTCTAGTCATTTTTTTATTTTTCCGTTGCCCTTTTGCAATTCATGATTAATAAAAATAATAAAATGTTACTTACAAATTAAAATCAAAAGAAATTTAACAAAGTTATAAACCGTAGCACCACGAACGTCTAGTCTGGTGTAGTGCTACAGTAGAGTCTCGAAAACGCGGCCTAAATTTTAGCAACTTTAACGGATCATCCTAGTAAATCTGCAGATTAGCTAACTTTCGAGCTTTAGCGATAACAAATACACTGTGTACAGTAATTTACCTGATAAGACAGACCTCAGAAAAATACTTTGAGGCATAAAGCTGTCTATAATGAAAATTAATTAACTAAGGATTTTTTTGCCCTGCCAGGGTGTGGCTGAGTTATTTGGACTGCCGGGTTATCAAGTGCCGAGTTTTCGAGACTCTACTGTACTTGTTCATAGATGGCGCATATAATTTAATTAAGTCATATACTGAACAAAAGTTGTATACCGAGCAAAATTTGTTTCGTCCAAACAGGACGTATTCCGAATTGGGCGTATTCTAAAGCACACGTATACCGAGGTTCCACTGTATTATTTCTTATAAATATTAGTTTTTTTAATAAATTTTTAGTAATGATTTTGGAAAGATGATCGTTGGTAATGATTTTTTAGTAATGATCGTTATAAATCAGCTGTATTATAAATTGAATTTTCTGCTCTAGGTAAATGCTGCATCAAAACTTCTCCAGATTGTCAGACGTGACTTGGAAGATGTCATACTTATCTGCAAAGCTGAAAAGAAACAAACTAACTATCATCGTAGTATGATCAGTGATTTGGCTAAAGGTTATTATTTTAATAAATAATCCTTTTTTTGTTTTTACATTAATTGAGTATACAGAAAGAAAATTTTTTGTACCAGATCTGAATTTAAAGTAACCTTTGCCCATCAGTAGCTGAATAGATAAAATCGCTGAACACTGGTAGTTGGTCCCAGATTTAGTTGTCCAATGTACTAACTGCATTTCTGGGGATTTTATATGTCTAACACCTAAACTGTGTCAGTTTCCCATACGAAGTCTTTCCAGAAAGGATTCTTGATAAATCACTCGCACATTACATTGCTTTATCACATATTACAACAACAGCAGAGTAAAATATTTAGTATGTTCTTCAAAATTTTCATCTTAATATATTAACGTTTTACAATTTTTATATGTGGAACAATTTCCTGTATTGAAAGTTGTTTTAAAATACATAATACAAGAAAAACTTTTGATTCTATTACATAGCTTTCAAGATAGTAACTTACAACATTGTGGGCTAAACTATATTTCAAATTCAGTTATCTGTAATAGTTAAATGAATTTTCAGTTAATATTTAAAAATAGAAAATTAATGATGTTTGAGTTTCAAAATTGTTTGAATACTGTAGTATTCATTACCATAAGACTCTTTTTACTGTTCTAACCATAAATCTGAACTTGATATTGCACACACATTTAAAAACTAATCTTCATAACTTCCATTTCTACATACTCCTTGGTTAAACTGTACTAAAGATGTTGCTCTTAAGTATGGGTGTTTTTATGCATAAGCAAAGTAAGCATGTGCCTACGGCAGCAAATTTTTACAGGTGACATAATTTACACTATGTATATCTGAATATAATAGTAAAATCAATGGTTCAACACAATTATTTACTGTAAAAATATATAATGAAAAATGTCAAGAGTGTTGTTACACATTTGTAGTGTGCAAATTTCAACAAACTATTACTGATGATGTGAAAGAAATTAAAATTATTATGAATGATGGAAGAGTGGGCGAGTTACCAAATTTTGCAGAATTCTTAAAATGCCTTTGCTCTTAAGCTATTCATTCAATTAATTTGTTTCTTAGCTAAGAGTAAATCTATTTTAAGCTTTCTATATTTTTAACTACTATATTTAGTTAACTATTTAATGCCGATTGTATCCCAATTAGATAATTCACTTTATTAAAAGTAATATATTTTCTTGTAAAATTGATACTCATTGATGACAATGATTTACAAATCAGTATGTAAATTGTTTTCTTAAATTTTATAAAGTACAATTTCTAAAATTGCATATCTGTGTGCTTGCATATATGTTAACATATACTAAATAACTATGTATTTTTATTTTATAGGAATTTTACCTTCTCACTGGCGTCAATACACAGTACCCCAAGGCTGTACAGTCATCCAATGGATTACCGATTTCTCTGACCGTATCAAACAATTACAGAAAGTTTCAGCAGCCTCTACTTCAGGGGGAGCTGCAGCTTTGAAAGTAAACAGATTTTGATGACACCTCAATTACATTGTTTTAATTCTCTATTGTATTTATTGATTCATTTATTATTTAATGTTTCAGAATTTACATGTTTGGTTGGGTGGTCTGTTTAATCCAGAAGCTTACATCACAGCTACAAGACAATATGTTGCTCAGGCTAATGGCTGGTCACTGGAAGAATTATCCATGGAAGTAAGTAAACTGTAATGTAGTATATTTTTTGCTTAAATTTTAGTTGCTTAAAATAGATACTATGTATCATAATTTATAATTTTTTTAGGTAAAAATTGCAGATAAGGAAGGGGATGATCTTCCAATGGATGAGTGTAGTTTTGGGGTAACAGGTAAGATAAGATGTAAATTGTAGACTTCTTGAATTTACATCTAATATAAATTTATTTGATCAGGTTTGAAATTGCAAGGAGCAGAATGCAAGAGGAATCAATTATATCTTACATCAACCATATCAACAGATTTACCACTAACCAGTTTACGTTGGTTAAAGTAAGTTTTCTATTTAAATGTTTATATAATTCATTTCCTAATTAAATCTGATTTTTTTTTTATCTTTAATTTTCAGAACCACTACAATTGTGTACCAGAAAAAGGTTAGTAAATTTTTTATTGATTTAAATTTTTTTTTGTAGTTCACTCTTTTGTAATTTATAAAATTTGATTTTAACAGATAACACTCCCTGTTTACCTGAATTCCACTCGTGGAGATTTATTATTTACAGTCGATCTGGCAGCTGGAGAAAAGCAGCGAGAGCATAGTTTTTATGAAAAAGGTGTAGCTTTACTATGTTCCACCGCTCTGGGTTAATAATCACTTATACTTTTGGGGGGTAACTATATATTAAAACACTTGTGATATTTATAACTATATTAGATTTTTTTGAAGCCACCTTGGATTTTGTCATAATAAAGCTCGTTAAAAATAGAGGGTAAATTATTGATTTTTTATGTCCCTTCAATATCTTAAACTAAAAGATTGAAATGTCGTACGATTTATTATTTTTTTCAATAAATATTAAATTTGAATAACACGTTTTGTACTGTTTTGGTTGTAGCAAAATGTTTCCTATTTGAATTCGTTTGATAGCACGTGATTCGAATGTCAATAAACATTGGAACATTTTGGAAGCTATTCCGGCGCGCTTGGCTTCTACACACTCGAGATAGATTTAGAAGACGTCATTAAAAGACAGGGCAACGAGCCAAGTGGGTGAAGGAGTCCGACGCAATTCTACTCTTCACCCGCGTCACTGACGTAAGTGTTAATGTACTGTCACCGAACGATAGCTTCGCGTTCCCGTGCCAACGACGCAACAATTGTTTTCTTCCCGTAACAGCTGATGATTCGAATGGGAGCGGTGAAATTATGGATAGTCTGATGCGTTCGGTCGGCTTTGGTGTACACAGTTACCATCCTTTTCGTCGTAACACGGAGAAAAAACATATATTCGATTTACAGTATGCGTGCAAATGCGTCATTTTACGTCGGACCGGCCTGAAAAGGTTAAAAAGCCATCGTTTGCCGCTTCCAAACTTGCTTCTGAGATACCTTACTACGTTATCCACCGATGAGTTCGAGGAACTGGAATGCGCTCCGTTCACCGATATGTTCGATTTGCATTTCTATCATCGCGCTCTGACGTACAGAGTGCGTTGCAAATTGGACTGCAATGAATATCTTGCTACGTACGACTCTGATTTCTTTCCTCGGAAAGATAACAGGAGCAAATGGATGGAAGTGGTGCACAAATACGTTATGTCGGTGTACGCCATCGTCGTGGACGAGCCTACGGGAAATCAGTTTTATCTACTCGATACTCCGACAGCCAATCTAGAAAGTATTAGAGGTGTTATGCTGAAATCTAAAATCGTTCTACCAGAGGATCATCTGTGGAAGTTAGTACATCAACTCAGTACTGCCCTCATCTATCTAAGTTCAACCGGTGTAGATTACGGGTCGTTTTCTCTCGATAATTTATACATGGTCGGTCAAAGACTAGTGCTCGAAAATGGATTAACGAAGAAGAACAAGCTTAAAGAAAGCGATAAATGGAAGGTGGAAGACGATCAAAGAAGTTTGGTGCAAAATCTAGGTCGAGTGTTGAATAAGTTAGTTTATGCCAATCGTTTGATCAATAACGTTGATTATTCTGACGATTTGTTAAAGATTATAGGAGATTGTCAAAGTGGTGATCCTCCAGAATTGGAAAATATTAGGCTTTTATCTAAGATGAGATCTAAAACTGATATAACCTGTCCAGAAATACCGTTATGTAATTTCGTTAAAAGTGTAAGAGATGCTCGTTTACGTTCCTAGCCATAATTTTTTTAATTATTTATTATAATTTTCATTCAAGTTTATTGGCGATTTAAATATTCTATATTAGTAAGAAAAAGCTGGATATATTCTTTTTGCTTTTTTATGTAATTATTATTATTATTTTGGTTATATTTTTGACATAATAAAGCTATAAATTGGTCTTTATCGCTAGTCTCAAAATAAAATGCAAGATTTTGCAGTATTTTAAGCTTTAGGATGACTGGCAAATAAGTTGCCGGATAATTGTAATATTTTAAGCTACGTGATGACTTGCAAATTTTTGATTACGCAAAAGCTACGTTTTCCTATTTTTGCTTAATGAAGATCGTATTGTTGTACTACTTTGTTATTTAATTTTTTTAATAATAATAATTTGCAATTAAATAATGGGTAAGAAAGAGAAGAATCACTTGAAGCAGTTGAAAGAGATTCACAATTTGATTTTCTTATCGAAACTGGCTTCCGGATCTTCGACTGTTTATTCGTTGTGGGCTTATCAAACCCGCCTGTCTGTAGCTATAAAGATAAAGAAAAACACTAAAGAATCAGAATTTTCGACCAGTCACTGGATTAAATGCAATCATCCCCATTTGATACCGTTACTTCGAGTCATTGATTTCAAAGATGATTATGTAGGTTACGTTATGCCTCTGGCAGAATATCCTATTCGAAAAGTCATTTGCACCTATTCGAATAATTCTGGAAGTTACGAGCAGGCAAAGTTGTGGATATATCAGCTACTGACAGGTATATGCTACTTACACGATCAGAAACTCTGCCATTTAAATATAAACGTCGATAATGTATTGATCGATAAAGGGCAGAATGCCCTCTTGGCTGGGTTTTCTAAGATAAGATACGAAGGAGAAACTTGTGACGTGGAAGAAAAGGATTCTATCTATCTACCACCAGAATGGCGTTCGAAAAGACAATTTGATAACTTTTCGGGGCAGAAAATGGATATGTGGTGTTTCGGAATAACTGCCTTAGCGATTTTACTGGGAAAAGAATTTGAGAAAATGGTCTACTCGTGGAAAGATATAGTCATTTTTTCCAAAGATCGCGTGAAGCTATTGACGACAAAAATTGCCGACAAAGAATATTTTGAAAAAATATTTAAGAAAGCGCATCCTTGTTCGTCCATCACTTCGACCAATGCCGAAAATGCACATTCGTTCTTTAACCAGCTTTTAAAAGAAGAAGCTCAAGGTAGATGCGCATCGCAAGATGTCCTTTGTCACTCTCTCCTTTGGCCTAACAATAAGTTTCAAGTGGGAGCTGTAGATAAAAACATGCCTAAAATCCATCAGGATGACGGTCTTCACGAACGTCGTGAGTATTTGACAAAACTGGGATTAACTGGCAGTTAATTACCTTAATTTAAAAATTCTATCTCGTTTTAGTTTATTCGCTTCCGAATGAAAAATCTGTTTTCTCTATAAGGAAAGAATTTAGCTCGAAGGAAGATCGATTTAAGAAATAATTTTAGTATCAAACACGAAGCATAATTCTGAAACACGTATTTAAAAATTTTTCAAAGGTTTTGATCTTGTAGAACAAAATTCTAAATGATAAAAATTATAATAAAGTTTAAAAAGTTTTGCATTTGATTATAGTTAATCTTTTGTTTATAGTAATACAAAGAAAGACGTAATGTTAAATCAGATATTTACCATTTTAATTGCTCTAGAAGCAGGTTTTTTTAAATGTTTTGTTATCGGTTCGTTTGCAACAAAAGAATACTATTATTTTTTTTTTTTAAATATTTATAGTCAACTAAATGATGTCGTGCCAGGCAAATTCTTGCGTTCTTCATATGGCTGGTCTCAATCCAGACCAGTTGGAAAATGCAACTGCCTTGTCCAAATTGCCTGCTTTTAAAAATTTACAACGTAAATTAGATAGTCATGAGGTTTGTAATGTTTAAAATTTTTTAAAAAGTAAATAAATAAAATAATGTTTTATAATAACATTCTAAAAAATGCTATTATAAAAATTATCTAATGACATTTAAATACTATATAAATATAAATATTTTTGTTTATTAATTTCGAATTCATATTATTCCGAAACCTCGTTGCGCCTTTATTAAATTGGCGCCTATGGCGGGGCCACATTGGCCATACCCTAGTTATGGCGCTGTCCTTGATATCTGTCACATTTGAGAAAGTTTTAACGGCAAACGAACCACAGGAATTTTTCGGGGTCGTTCGGGCCCCGTTTTCTCCACCCGGTCGCCCCTTACTGGACAGGCCCACTAACGGGGAACCAAGATAGGTCTAAAAATGAACGTTCTTAGTGCCCACAGGAAGAGAGTCAAAAATGAAAAAAATTGTTTATACCATTCATAAAGTCATTCTTGTTATTAGCAAAATAAATCATGGAAAATGGAATAGGATAAAAAGATTCTAGAAAATACTAGAAAATAAACACTGATCTTTATCATGTGTTCATCGGACAAACAATTCACATTATTTCGTCTATTTTAACAATGCATTTCGGATTGGTAATTTTCCAATCTCTCTTCAGACTCACTGCTTCAGTGTCTAAGGTTGTTGTTATCTACAACATAACAAACAAAAAGTTAGTTCGTCTTATTACACTTTTGTTATCCAGAATGATGCATATAGTGCACAATTTGTACACATCGTAATGGTGCAGTTTCTACATATCACTCTCTCATTTACTGCCATGTTTTCTTTTGTCTATTTTTGATGGGCAAATGCAACGCTTTTTCCATTTTGCACAATTATTGGTTCCTTATTATCTCTTAGTAGGATTTTAACTTCAACAATGTGGTTCATGATATGTCAAAGGTCAAAATGTAATTTTTCATTGTAAATATTTTCACAAATTGAAACCAAAATTTTCACAAATTATAATTATAATAAAAACACAACTATTAATAAGAACACTATTTATATTCTGAAAAAAAAAAACACACTCCGAAAAAATCACTAACGTACTGAGTATGGTACAGATCAGATTGACCTAAGTACACTATACAGTAAATAATCAATCATATGGCTAAGAGTAGAGCATTTCAAGATCTGCCTCGTACTTAGATTATAAAAATATTGTTATATTGAGAGTTAAGAACTACACTTAGGACTTTAAACTCTGATCTTATCTTCTTTATAATAATTAAACAAAATTTAGAAAATAGCTAAATTCGCGATGAAACAATCTAAATTTATATTACTTATCTAATTGACTAAATATCAAATTCAGGGGCAAACAAAACAATCTAGATTTAGATGATAAAAATAAATTCTAAAGTGACAATCCTGCCCAGCATGTGGTATAGACTTCGATGTTTTGAATGTTTTGACTTAAAGTAATATGGCGGTCGATATTATCAGTCGTTGCCACCAAGAGCGCTGTATCTAAGGAACAGTCACTATGTAGTATATTCTAGCTCGTTGAACGTAATACAAAAAATTAAAAAATCATTTTACAATGTTAATTTTAGAAAGTGAAAGCACTTAATTTTACAATTAAATTTAAAAAACCAGGACTTTATAAACAACTTACTCTATATTTTATTTTTATTTATTATACAAAATTATTTTATTATTAAAATATATACAATGAGTTATTGTTAAAATAACATTTAAAAACACAGCTTATTAAATATTTTATAAATTTAAATAACGTTTAGGACATATTTGCATATTGATTGGAAAATGCTTTTTCCACAGCGATCGATTTGAAAAGTAAAAGTAAACAGATATCAATCGATTAAGTGCGTGCTCTGAAAGACACGAATATAAAAGTACGGCACATAATACATGTAACGCGACGGCCGAGGCGGTCCAGGCGCCATTTTATCGCTCCAGAGGACTCGAAATTACATCCTAGTGAACAACTTCAAAAATTTTTTCACGGGTGATCTGTCCCACATATATAAGACTCCGATCTTCATCATATAGTTGCAGCCTGGTTGAACTTATTGTGGGCCCGAATGAACTCGCGAAGGGCATAGATAAAAAAAGACCGTGGCCCAATACAGAAACCCACAAAAAAGTTTTTGAAGTTGTTTGCCAGGATTCGATCTTGTGCCATTCGGAGCGGTAATAAGCTGGCGCTGTAACTACTCCTACCATTTGGCCGTCAATTCTTCTTAGTTTACTATATCATGTTGCTCTTTATTCATTTTTACAGTACAGATATAAACTATATTATGAAAAAATAATGTATTCTTTTAAACCCCCGATGATTTTCAAAATACTGCATATCATTTAAATAAAATCGACTTTTCATAAGCATATTTTATTTTATTTTATTTTTTTTAAATTAATGATTTATATCAGTTGAAATACTTTTTGATTACTTCTTATTCAACGATGCTAAATTTTAACTGCAGCCAATCAGATTTTTTTTTGTTTTTGTAATATAATAATTATATCATCGAGTAAATAAATAAAAATCAATATTAAAAATGACGTTATTTTAAGAGAGAGAGTAGAGAGTAGAGTAGAGTCGACGTTATTTTAATTTCTAATAGAAGCGCGCCTCTAGCGGAAGATATTTTATTAAAAATTGTAACCGGTAATGTCGTGTCGTCTGTTTTCGTTGCTATCATTACTTAACACGAAATTAACGATTTTTTTGTAAAAATTGAGTCGTTTTTTTCTCTTTAAATACTTAAATTGGTTAAATAGAATATTTGCAGACGTTGCAATGAATATCAGAACCTGTTTACAAGTAAGAATTTAAAATTTTTGTTATTTCGTTAATGTTATTTAATTAATATGATTAATATGATTACATAATTAACTTATTTATTTCTTATCAATACTTAAATACCCAAACTTGTATCGAACGATTATATATCAGAATTAACGAAATGACATTACATAAATAAGACTGTCGATTTTCGGCTTGGCGCGTGTTTAAACTTGAAATTTAACTTATGTATTTATGCTCCATTGTGAACTGTTATATTTTCTAAGATGAACGTTTTTCTACCATTGATCTATGACAGAATCCCTCGCGACTTTTACACTTTACTTACAACGGTGAGGAACATATGTTTGAGAAAAGCAATTAGATGGGCCAGGAGATGACTATTCTCTACTCCGGGAAGTCATTTATTACACCAATAGAGCCCAGATATATTGGTTACTGTCAATGTGAAAATAACATGTTGGGTAAACATGCTTGAGAAAAGACTCCATGATAAACATGCACAGAAATTAGTTTGGATCATCAAACACCAGAGAAATGATTTCAACTCCAACCATCCATGTGGATTGATTTGTTGGTATAATATTCAACCTCCTTTGACACTCAAGTATGCTGTCAAACAGGGTCTTATGTATTGGCATCCAATACCTTCAGAAGTATTCCTGATGATGAAAAAAATGATTGAAGGTCTAGATCAGTGTTTCTCAACGGGGGCGCTATTGCCCCATGTGGGCATTTTTCCATGTTCAGGGGACGATTAGTAACAATTTATATTTTTGGGGCGAAAAAGCAATTTTCTGGGTGATATACTAAAACATTATATTAAGAATAATTAGATATTTTATTCGTTATATCGTACAATAATTAAACAAATAACATTATATAGTCACTAGTCTATTCGATGCAGTACGAATTTGGCATTAGCCTTGTCCCCTCGGCATTGGAATTTTGTAGTGAAGGGGCGATACTACCTAACGGTTTTATTGAAGGAGGTGATGATTCGTTACAGGTTGAGAAACACTGGTCTAGATCAAACCAGTAAAGAGTATTGATGGAAGACAACAGTGATCATCCATAGCATTCCAGTTAGTAATTCTGATAAGACCCTGTGGTTGTCTAGAACAGTGGTTCTTAACCCAATTACTTATTAAAACACTCATAAGACAATATCAACAGTCTAAGAACAGACCTCTTCCACATGAGATACAATGGATGGTGATAACTAGAGAATGGATTTTAAGGTGCAAAATTATGTTCAGAAAAGGGGAAAAAAAGCTTCTGAAAAGTGTACAAAAAAAGGTGATGATGAAATATATTTATTGAGGTCTAAATCAATTACATGACTGTAGCAAAAATCATATTGGTGCAACCGTAAAGGCTCTCACTATGAGAATGAAAGAGCATGAGTATACTATTAGAAAAAAATTCATCCACAGCCTTGTCCTCACTTTCAGTTTAAGAAGCTGTTTGTGTTGATTTACAGGACACAATTGCTACACAGTTTGATAGGGCACCTCTTAAATATCTGGAAGCCATTGAAATATACAGGGCATTTAAGAAGGGAGTAGGGATTAATTCTAAAGAAATATACATTATCCATACAGCATGTGCTTTCTTTGAAACAAAATTTTTCTTTCTTTGTCTTACACCTGGGATGGAGCATTTTTGGCACATAGTTTTATGTATATGTATGTAAATCTCATTACGCCATACAAATACATACTTCTGTGAGTGGAACTTTAAAATTGGTATTTATATTTTAAAGGTCAAAAAATGATTTTAAACTAAATTTGTAATTTATTCAAAAATCATATTTTAATTTATTTGTTTAGTTCTGTATTATATACAGGGTGCATAGGAAAGTCCCTTTAACTGGAAAATTCTTGCAAACGGAGAGAGCTA